CGCAGGCATGTCGAATGTTAAAAACATCGTGTACTCCAACAGTGGAAATTGGCTTTGAAATCATGTCGCCTTTTTCAAATTACTGAATGACGGGTATTTTTTTTTTTAGGTTTATAAATCCGTAAGATTTAAACGTGTAAAATTTCACATAATTTATAAAACGGCTCGTATAATTTTTTAACATGGTATGTGTAAAAGTAATGCTTATTGCTACTAAGCTCACTCCATGGAGGTTATATAATTAGTATACTGTTAGTATTTTGAACACTTTTAAGCCAATCATCAATTGGGATCATACAGGTAAATCTCAATTAACTTGTATATAAATTATACAAACATTTTCAATTAATTTATCAGTTAGACCTACCTGGTTACTCTTTTTTTAGTATTTTTTTAGAGACGCATAACTTCTGATAATGACATATAATTACAGCTCTTCCAATTAAATGTATACCCGTGTTTTCAATCTTGGACACTTTCTTCTGCTTCATATGCTTTGAATAAAACTTCGACCTCTTAATACGATGTACTTAATTAAATACTTTCACTTCAATTATGTTAGTTTGAGTTGTCTCTCTTTGTTTTCGGTAAATATACCAGACATGCACGTGTGCCTAGCTATGTTTCTAAAAAAAACATGAATAAATGAAGGGCACATTGCTCATGTATATAAAGGTTATTTAAAAAAAATTATACCATGCGCGGATCTAGAGGGGGGTCGGGGGGTCAGGACCCCCCCCCCCCCCTGGAATTTACCAGGTTAAAAATATACATACTAAAACAAGGAAAAAGTTACCATGGACCCCCTTGGAAAACGCAGACCCCCTGGACTATATGTGTAAAATGGGTATGAAAAGTTAAAGAAGAGAAGAAGTCACCACTAACCCCTCCCCCCTTTACGAAATAGGTTTTTGACGTTAGGGGGAGTGTTACTTTACGTTTTTTTTTTTTTTTTTTTTTCAAGAAATTTCCCCCCGGGGGGGGGTTTTTTTTTTGACTTGAGGTGGACCCCCCCCCCCCCCCCCCCCCCCCCCCGGAAAAAAATTCTGGATCTGCGCCTGTATACAATTCATTATGTAATTTGTTTGCATTGTTTATATTGTTATATCAAATTAACATGTGTTTAATAACTCTCTCACTCTCTCTTTCTTTCTCTCTCTTACAAGTTACATAGGGTTTTTGGACACGTTATTTGTACACGTAAATGCATTCAATGTGATCTGGAATTTTATGTCTGATGTTTTGAATTTTTACGGACATATTCAATTCGTAAAAGATCAACGTATAAAAATTTAAATCACCTTTTTTGACCCAAATTGGTAAAAATATACAGCAGTAAAAATTACCCGTTATATGGTATTTTATTTCACTCTATCTCATATTTGTTTTAATCAATCGTATTTGCTTGTGCATTTAATAATTTCAAGTTTTATGCCTAATGAAATCAGGTGCTTTGATCCTTTTCATGCCAGCACCTACCCCGACACAAGACCTTGATTTATCCGGTCTCATCCATAGGATCGGTCTCCACGCATCATTTCACAAGTCTCCAAATTTCAAATAAAACATTCTCATTGAAACTTTGATGCTTCCACATGAAAATGGCCGGGCATATATTGTTTGTCATGTACGTCTTCCATTTTCCGTCTGTCCCTCTTCCCCGCTTTGCGTTTACCTCAGTTCAGAGCTCAATTTCAAAGAAACTATTCAATTTTTTTTTATATTAAACGTCCTATGCTGATAAACATTGATGAGAGCTATTTTCCTGCATCAACATATTTTAACTTTGACCTTTCCTTTGAACTTAATCTCACCTTTTATGAATTCTGTCTAAAGAGACCATTCAAGATAGTATCATCAAACTTCATGTGCCGATATGTACTGATATGTGCTGATACATGCTATAGGCTACACGTTTGTAACTGCATCAACATTTTGTTTTACCTCTCCTTTGACCTTAACCTAGTAACTTTTCTCAGGTTAGTGTTTAACTCAGAAACATACCATTCAAGACTATAAGTATTCTTTTACTTCTTATGGTGATACATGCATTTTTTTTTTACTTTGACCTCTCCTTTCACCTTGATCTTACCTTACCTAATTCATTGAGTATTAAGCTCAGTTTTGAAGAAAGCATTTATATTTTTACTCAACTTCATATGCTGATACACTGTACACACTTATGAGAGCTATCCAAACCTTTGTGTATAACAGATGCTCTAACCACTGTGCCAAACGGGGACCTTCAGTTTTGAAGAATCCATTCAAGACATTTTTATCAAACTTTAGTATCCTGATACAGTTTGATCTTGCACTTTCCTGTGACCTTGACCTCACTTGTCTTTAATTTGCAATTTGCATAGTATTAAAGAAACCATTTGAGATATTTTATTGTAAGCTTATGCCTATATGCATTATCTGAACGGAATTTCCATTTTTAAGATTTCAATGTTTAAGAAACTATTCAAGATATTCTCAACAAACGTCATACACTCATATTTCTAAATAAATCATCATGTAAATCATAGTTCTGAACCTAATAAATTCTTTCGATTCGATATATGCTCAAAAAAAATTTGACTGAACATATCCAGTCTTTTGGACGAGTCACTGTTACTGACAGAGAAACTTTAAATTCTCAACCGTATTTGTACCAGTGAAACATTGCTCATATAATGCAGGGTGGGGCATGACCTTGTCTCAAGTTCTAGGTCACTTAAGATAAGATGTTTTGGTTGGATATGAACTAAAAGAATATCTAAAAAAAACATATGTGAACTTTTCCACTCGGTAACACGCAGAGTATGTATTTTTATAACAGAGTTTGTCTTTGCTTGTTGCAAGGTCATTTAGAAAGTTCAAGGTCATGCACATAACATTCTTTTACAGTCTTTTTCCTGGCGAAACATTGTAAGTTGCTTCCTCAACAAGCCTTTGGGTTGCTTACTTAAATAATTTTAGAATGGTTTGACCTAGACTCAAGGTTACGTCTTCCTTTCCGTAGCTCCAACGGAAGACCTATTCGTTGCTTTGCAACGAGCTCGGCTCTAGTTTCTTTGATAATTCAATTTGAACTAGAGGCACTGTGAGCAATGAGCTCACTAAATGATATCCCCCGCCTCCATATACTAGTAGTTTTAATGGCAAATTCCATGTTTTGCTGTGGCCAGAAAACCAAAAATATGTCTCGGATCAAAATGTAAAATAAAAGGTGCACAATGACAATATGTAATAAAGATTCTGTGAAAGTTTCATCAAATTTCATTCAGTGGTATGAGAGGAGTTGCGGATAAGAGATGGGTACCCCAAAGCGTAACAGACAGACGGAAGGACAGACGGACGGAATGAACGATTACTATATACCCTCCTGCTTTTCAAGCGGGGGTATAACAAATCGAGCGCACGTCTGCACATACTCTTATGTATTTTTTGACATGAAGTGTAGATTGATAAAATGAACGAAATGATTTGCATTTTGTCCTCTTTTTTTCTAAAGATAACACACAAGCTCATTAGTTAGTGCTGTCACAGGCACAACCCCCCCCCCCCCCCCCCCCCCCCAATCGTGCTTTGATTTATTTGAAAAATTCAGATTTATATTATAATTTATACTAACATAGATTATGAAGTTGTTCTTTGAGTACATTTAAAAAGCACATATATAAACAATATATAAACAATTATAACACTGTAAAAACTGCTAATTTATTTATTTTTTTAATTCTGAGAAAAAAAATCATTGCGACAGTGTCAAATTTTAGATTTTAATTTTCTTATTAATAAATCTGCTTTGAATGAACATATTTTAGTTTATTTAAGCTATATAAACAAAAACATGGCATGGGCCTTGTTTACATAGATATCTATCAAAGATTTGGAGCTTTAAATATGTCTTGTGTCTCTACAACGGAAATTGAAACTTTTGATAATCATTAAAAATAAGTATTTGCAAACATAATTTAAAATTGGAAAAATATATTTGAAAATTTTTAGCTGAAACTGTGTCCATGTCCCTTTAAAGAAATGAGAGCACATTAGATCTTTGATTATTGGATGATTAACATCTTTGATATGCTATGATCCCGAAAAGGATTTTTAACCTCATTAAAACAATTTTTCTTTTATTCTTAAGTTGAAATACGTTTAACGTTTGTACTTTATTATTTCTATATTTATTTTATTTATCTAAAGAAAATACAGATTATATTTTCATATAGATACTAGATATTTTTTCTCTGTATGTATATGTTCATATTCAAATAGATACAATGAGTTCGTGTGTGACTCAACATGAATCTTATTAACATATTGTCATATCATTTCGATTGTCTGTTTAATCCTTCAAATAATAAACTGTCAACAACGTTACTGTTACCGAAAGGGGAGAGGTTTGGACAAGGTGACATTATCCAGTTATGACCAAAACCAAAACGTTTTAAATCCCGTAAAGCTTCAAATAATAAACCTACATAAAGTACAGAAAAAAGGTCACAAATAGAAATTTGATCCCTGTTTCCTTTGTGCTTTCGGAAAGATGTCAACAAAGTTATGCTAATATTTTGTTATAGCAAGGGTTTTAATGCAATGGCCGATTTTATGTCACCTAACAAGGATTTGAACAATTTGTTTGGGTGTAGAATGTCATTACGTAAACACAAACGTCATAAAATATATTCAAAAAGTATTTAAACAATTTTTTGAAGAAAAAAAAAACAACTATCCAAAATATTGTAGCATTGTTAAAGGTAGTATTATTCTGGAGTTATCATCCAAATATATTATTTTCCTGGTAAGGAGTCCATGTATTCTTTTATTTACAGCCATAATTATTTGAAAGTGCAAAACATAAATTGAACAATTTTATCATTTAATTTTTCAAAGGTTTAATATTATACATGTAGGTTGGAGTAAGATGTTTATAAATGAGCTTATCCTTTGTTTTTTCTTGTATTTCTTTAAAAGTATTCAGTTGATATTTATTCTTTTTTTTTCAATCCTGTAGGCAAGGAGACCAGACTGATGACCATGCTATCGAGTGAGACTAGTATCATTATTGTCTACTTAGTTTTCTTTCTGTACAAAACTGGAGAGTCCATGCTGGATGCAACAACTCGACCATATTTGCTCCGAGCAGCATGTAACGAGATATTTGAGGACACAAATAATAAATCTATATGTATGAATTTTAACAAAAACCCTGAAATGCAAGATATGGTGCAGAAAAAATCTGGAAATTATCTAATTTATTATAGACTTCTGTTAAATCTACCTGCCATTGTTATAGCGTTATTCTCTGGATCGTATAGCGATCGGTATGGAAGAAAAACTCTTATTCTCTTTCCAAGTGTTGGAAGCATGATTGCGGTGTTTTTATATTTTGCTAGTAATATGGTGCCGAAGTACAGGATACTTCTGATCCTTGTCGGTTCTGCTGTACAAGGACTGTTCGGGAAAAGTTCCTTGATAACTACTGCAGTCAACAGCCTCGTGTTCGATTTATCCGAAGAGAAAAATCGCACAAAGAATTTCGGTAGACTGTTGGCCATGAACATGTTTGGTTTGACCACAGGAGCGCTGTTTTCTGGAGTATTTCAGGATGTTCTTGACGTTAAAGCTGCCTTTGGGTCAGTTGTTGTTCTTCATGGAACTGCTATTCTCATCACTGCTATCTTTATTGGTGAAGTAAATGAGGAAAAGGACAAATCGAAGAACAAAGACACAGAGGACAGGGAGTCCGCATGCGCAGTATGTGAAGTGATACGTCCCTCAAGCATCAAGGAAACGTTTGCAGTAATATACAAATCGCGTTCCGGCAAGAAAAGACACATTATCGTTCTATTACTTGTTTTATCTGTGATCATTCAAACCTGCAAAGTTGGGGAAATGGACGTTAAACTTATGTTCGTGACCAGAAGTCCTCTGAGCTGGCCCAAGTCTTGGTACGGGTATCTTCTGTCTCTAGATTATGCCGTAATAGGAGTGTGTTTACTACTGCTTATGCCTATGTTTTCTAACCAGTTCAAGTTTCTAGATGTCACAATTATGATGCTTGGAATCGGATCTCAGATAGCTCATTTGACACTAGTAGGAGTCAGTGATAAATCGTGGATGGTTTTCGCGTCCGTTGCTGTTGGGGCGTTTAAAGGTATGATCATATCTGCTTTACGCTCAATAATCAGTAAAAGTGTTCATGCTGATGAAGTGGGGAAAATGTTTTCTCTGATCACATGCGGAGAGACGCTGTCTAAATTCCTAGGAACTTTAATATTTGTTAATATCTACAGCACATCTGCTCACATATTTCCCGGTATAGTGTTCTTTGTAGAAGCCGCTACCTTCATTATCATATTAGTTATTTTAATTGCTATGTATAGACATCTGCATGGCTTTAATGAATTAACGAACGATCAAGTGTTCCATGGAAACGATTTTAAACAATCAATAACCAAAGAAGAACCAAATGCTCCAAAATTCAACGTACAGTGTACTAGTATTTCACTACAACCTAACCATCAAATCAAAGATGTCAACGATAAAACCTCAAATGACAATACTATGCTCTATATCTAATAAATATATAAACCAATAAATGAAACTGTCAAAGCACTATATACTCGTATGTACTTCAGTTTTTGTTATACAATACCTAGCAGTCAGGTCCTGCTGAGTACTACATGTACAATACCTAGCAGACAGGTCCTGCTGAGTACTACATGTACAAAACCTAGCAGACAGGTCCTGCTGAGTACTACATGTACTAGGTACGTGATCCTGGTTCCATTTAAGATACTCGGTACTTGTCATCCGATTTATAACTGGTTTCGAATTTCTTTTAAGGTTCATTGATACACTGATAACAGAGATAAATCTTAATGCCATCAAAATCTATTATTCCTTTACAACTTTGCCAAGTCGAAGTGTCTTTTTATGCCCCCGTAAACGAAGTTTCGGGGGTATATAGTTTTTGTCGTGTCTGTCTGTCTGTCTCTCTGGATTGTCCTACTTGTCCGCAAAAAAACTTTAACCTTGGCCATAACTTTTGATTTGTTGGAGCTATGACTTTCATATTTCATATATGTATTCCTTGTGACAAGACCTTTGTTTGGGTACCACCAAATTTGACCTTTTGACCTTGACCTTGGAGTTTGACCCACTTTTACATGAAAATTTTAAAATTTTACTCTGGCATATCTTTTGAACAGTAGACACCAGGGTATTTATACTTCACATATGTAATGTTTGTTAAAAACCTTTCACTGTCAACAACCTTGACCCTTTGACCTTGACCTTGTAGATTTTGGTACTTGTGAGAAAACTTTAACCTTGGCCACAACTTTTGAACAGTAAGGGATAGGGCTTTCATACTTCATATATGTAATCCTTGTGAGAAGACCCTTCATTGGATACGAAGATCCTTGACCCTTTGACCTTGACCTTTGAGATTGACCTACTTTAAAAAAGCAAACCTTGACCATAACTTTTAAAGACTAAGGCTAGTGCTTTCATACTTTACATATTTGATCCTTATGACAAGACCTTTCATTTGATAACAATAACTTTGACCCTTTGACCTTGACCTTGGAGTTTGACCTACTTTAAAAATACAACATTGACCATAATTTTTAAAGGGTTCGGGCTAGGGCATTCATACTTCACAAATTTTATCCTTGTGGCAATACCTTTCTGAGAATACCCTACTTTTGGTACCAATTAATTAAATTTGCATTTAAGAAAAGCTTAATCTTTGCTGTGTTGCCATACGGGGGCATCAGTGTTTTACAAACACATCTTGTTTTTTTAGAAATTGTTCACACTTAGAGCATGCTCTTGCGTATCGAATCAATTGAGATGTATACACTCCGTATGCAGATGATGAAGGTATATTGCTGCATAAGTAAGGGAAGTTGACGATAGAAAAGTCAAGGTTATCATGTTTATCATATAGCTTGGTTGTTAGTTATGATATAGTGAAAATGTACGTCAGATTTGTAGGAGGGCATTTCTCAACGTAGTATTACCCGTTATAGGAAGGATTTTATACTGTCGAAAAATGATCTCTCTTGAAAAATATTGACCCAGGGTCATTTATAACGTAGAAATTCGATCCTTCGGTCAATATTCTACAGGGTCACTTTTCTTTGTTGCAACAGCGACAATGAAACATAACAATGCTAACTATGAGTTATTTAGCTTCTTAAAAAGGTTAGTAGGGGAAATTCTGGAAATTTCAAAAAATACACCCGAATAATCCAAAACCTAGGACTTGAGTGATTGACAAAGATGAATGCTGTTAGCATGTAGAAGGGCTTCGATCTTTATTCTTTAAATTTGGTTATTGAACAAGAACAAACATGTTCATATCTATATCAGGTTTTTATTTATGGTCATATAGTGAATTTCGTACATGACAAAATAACGACCAATCTTCGTTTGCGTTTCATCTCCAGTAAACAGTCCTATACCATAGGTACAAGGACTCCACCTGGTGATTTTTTTGTCGTAGCTGGCGCTTTTGTCGTTGTTGGTGCATTTGTCGTTGCTGGTGCTTTTGTCGTTGTTATGTTTCTTGGTGTGGGTATTGGTAATTCATCATATTCAACGTCACACAACTCTATTTGAAATTTGTACTCGTCCGCTGGATCTACGCCGCTAAAAACGAAAAAAAAAGAAAGAAAGAGGAATGATATGCGGATAAAATAAAGGTAAAATAAAAGTATAAAGTCTCTTTTTGTTTATGTATTTTATGTTATTAATTCAAATTTGATACCCACACAATTAGCTTTCTCAGGACTTTATCGAAGTGCATGATGTCAATATTTCTTCTGTAAGAGAACACATTACGTATCCTTTCACATTTAACGAGTCGTTGTCCTGTAAAATGAATTTCATTTCTTATTTTAAAAAAAGAGTAAATAGCAAATATAAACCCCGGAAAACGTATTCATTTACATTTATAACAGTCACACTATTTCTAATTTCACTTATATGTTAACCTTGTTCATTTTTTTTTAGATAAGAACAATATAATTACCTTGTTTTTCGCAGCACTCAGCTATCCTCTTTGGATAGCCGCCCTGTAAATGATAGTGTTCACCAAATAGGGAGCAGTCGATTCCATTAGTGGCATCTGTCACAAAAAGTAAGGTAATGTAATAATATAATGTATGTTGGGTATAAAAACGCTTAAATATCATTCACTGGACCTTTTCACACATAAAAAAATAATAAATCCCCCCCCCCCCATCTCTTTCTACGACTTATCTCTCTATTACATTATTTTATAATTTTATGATAAAATTCTAAATAATTATTTCAGAAAAAAAAAATATCTTTATAAAAAAAAAATTACAGTGTCGAAATTTTAGTCGTAGTCGTACGCGTTGGGCCACAGGAATATGAAACATATATGGCGATAACAAACAGTATTCAAAAAGGTTTATCCTTTTGTAAAATTTGGATAAAATTCTCGACAAATTTGTAATCTGATATGACATATAAATACTTGCATTAAAATTTGTAATTTATGGAAAGCCGTAGGGTACCCCCACATTATTATTATTTTTTCCTATATAATTATACCAAAAATAATTATCTCATCCCAAACTGAAAATCTTGTTTTTTACAACATTATTATTATTTTCCTGCAATAATTATAATGTTGTCTGTTAAACTGTACACATTATTTTATTTTCCCCAATTATCATTATTTACACTTTACAATGATAATCTTGCCAGTCAATGTGGACACGATATTTTAAAAAAAAAAAAAAAAAAAAAAAAAAATTAATATATTTTTTTATTATTATTTTTATTTTGTACACATTTTTTTTTTTATTTTACTTCAAGATCATAATTATTCTTATTTCATCATTTTATAACAGTGCATCCCTGTAATAACAATGTAGTGATTGAAAATAAAAAAAAATAAAATAAAAAAAAAACTCTTAAAACAATTATTTCCGAAATCTTCGTTATATATAACGTTAATCTCTGCAACAATAATAATGATGTAAACGGGACTTTGTTTTTATTTTCCACAGGAAAGATAACTTCTTTTTTAGTGACAGTAACGAAAACTCTGTCCCCTTCTCCACAATAATTATAAGATTGTGACTGCCTACATTATTTGAAGCGTGAAGATTTTATTATTTCTAGCGTGACGGACACAAACGTTTAA